AATATTTACATAGATGCTTTTAATTGATTGATTAATTAATTAATTTAAAGTCAATCTTTATATTTTTTATATAAATTAATTAAAAAATTACATATATTCATTTTAACATGGAGCATGCTCGAACTTGTGCCTCCTCCGCAATGAGCAAGGTTACAAACCAGTTGATCCACCGCACCTGTTATGTCAAGGTACTACACAACATTATATTTATTCATTTGGGTTGAGGCGGCGGTTTGAACGGTTGAACCGGTTAAACCGGGAACCGGAGGCGGGTCGTTTTTTAAAACTTTGATATATACCTATTCCCCTTTCATTTTAGTCTCAATAATCAAAAAGCTAGCTTCCTTTCTCTTCTTATTCACCATGGTGAGAACTGATATAGAGAGTGTTTGGATCCTTGCTCTTGCTTCCAAATGCCGAGCTTTTACAGAGGAGAACACTGCATGGTCGCTCTTGATCATAGCTGCAGCCTGGTTAGTGATGACTCTAATCTACTGGGCTCACCCCGGTGGTCCGGCTTGGGGAAAATATAGGCTCAAGAGGTTCCTCATCGCATCTAAGCCAATTCCGGGTCCTAGGGGGTTGCCTCTAATTGGCAGCATGGAGCTCATGGCTAGCTCCCTCGCGCACCACCGAATCGCAGCTGCTGCTGAGACATGCGGCGCCAAGAGACTCATGGCGTTCAGTCTTGGCAATACCCGCGCAATTGTCACATGTAATCCGGATGTGGCGCGGGAGATCCTTAACAGCTCGGTTTTTGCTGATCGTCCTGTAAAGGAGTCGGCCTACAGCTTGATGTTCAATAGAGCAATTGGGTTCGCTCCTTATGGTATTTACTGGCGGACTCTTAGGAGAATCGCCGCCAATCACCTTTTCCACCCAAAGCAAATCAAAAGCGCTGAGGTTCAGAGACAAGCTATCGCATCTCAAATGGTGGACATATTTGGCGTCTACAGACAGAACTTCCGCGTTCGCGATGTACTTAAACGTGGTTCGCTGAACAACATGATGTGTTCAATATTTGGACGGAAATATCGATTGGACTCCACCGGTTGCAACATTAATGAAGTTGAAGAACTGAAGGCTCTGGTTGATGAAGGATACGACCTACTCGGGAAGCTAAACTGGTCGGACCACCTACAATGGTTAGCAGATTTCGACCCTCAAAAAATCCGGTTTCGGTGCTCGAGACTCGTCCCCAAGGTGAACCGTTTCGTTACCCGAATTATCGCAGAACACAGAGCCGATACAAGCGAGAAAACTCGAGATTTCGTCGACGTTCTGCTGTCTCTTCAAGGCGCCGACAACTTGTCAGACTCGGACATGATCGCCGTTCTCTGGGTAGGCATATCTTTTTGAGCTGAGACATCCATCTTGAGAAAAATGTTGGAATATTAAAAATTTTCACAAAATGACAAAAGAGATAACCTCTTTTTTGTACCAGGGGAAGGGGTACTAAAATTTTTCAATTTTTAATTTTTTTTCTTTTGATCATTTTGACAAAGGATGGATTTCGAACCCGCTTAAGAGAGGAACAGTGCACCATCAACTTGGCTAATGCCAGTGGCGCTAGAGGCCCAGGTGCCAATTTTTAAATTGTTAATTTGTTTTGATACAGGAAATGATATTCAGAGGGACTGATACCGTGGCGGTTTTGATCGAGTGGATACTAGCGAGGCTGGTGCTTCATCCTGATATTCAATCGAGGGTCCATGATGAGCTTGATAAAGTCGTGGGAAGATCAAGGGCCGTTGAAGAGTCTGACATCCCGGAGATGGTGTATCTACCGGCTGTCATCAAGGAAGTTCTGAGGCTACACCCTCCGGGTCCACTCCTTTCATGGGCCCGCTTAGCCATCAATGATACCGACATTGATGGGCATCACGTGCCTGCGGGGACCACAGCAATGGTAAACATGTGGGCCATAACTAGGGACCCAGATGTGTGGGCGGACCCCCTCGAATTTATGCCCGAAAGATTTGTGAACAAGGAGGGCGACGTGGAGTTTTCTGTGCTGGGGTCGGATCTTAAGCTGGCTCCTTTCGGGTCGGGTAGACGAACGTGTCCCGGCAAGAACTTGGCACTGACGACGGTCAGCTTTTGGGTGGCGTCGCTGTTGCACGAGTTTGATTGGCTGCCGTCGGATTCGAACTCGGTTGACTTATCGGAGGTGTTAAGGCTGTCCTGTGAAATGGCTAATCCCCTGTCCGTCACAGTGCGGCCCAGGCGTGGATTAGACTTGTCTAACTGTGGCAAGAGCAGTGCTTGGGGCACCCGCTTTTTGCACTCTCCGGCCAACACTTCCCCTTGCATTGGGCCACGTAAGCTTCTTTAAAACTTTCAGGCGCAACTTCTGGGAACCAAAATAACGTGGCCCAATAAAAGAGAAAGTGTTGGCCGGAGAGTGCAGGAGACAAGTGCCCCTAGGCCCTAGCATTGCTCAACTGTGGCAATTAGTAATAACAATAATAATAATATATGCGTGTGCAATGCACAGGTTAAATACTCAATCTAGTCCCTCAACTTTTACTTTTGAATCAAAACTATTCTTAAACTTTAAAAAGTACCAAAAATATCCTGAAATTTTAATTTTTGAAACTAATTTAGTCCTTTTGTTGATGAATATGACACATGGCACACCTTTTTTTAAACAAAAATTAACGATGTGGAAAAAAAAAAAAACTAAGCATGACTAATGTGGTGGCATTTCTTTTAAAAGAGAAAACATAATTAGAACTCTAAATTAGTTCTAATTTCATCAATAATATCCAAAACTACATCCACATAATAGAATTGAAATCATAAATGTAATACAAAATAAACCAATTAGGGGATTAAAATTTCAAAACTTAAACAAGTCATAACTATCAATAGTAATAGTCCTCACTTCATAAAACTTAAAGCATGAAAATAATTGAAACCCAGAATACCAATTTTCCAAAACCACTAGAGACCTCAATAACTCTTTTGGAACCTCACCTTTGCACCTCTCCCACTGAACTTCTTAGGCCTACACCTCTTGGGATCAGCAACAAGCAAAGTGTAATCACACCTGACAAAGATTTCATCGATAAACTAGAGCCTTGGTGATGCTCTGACAAATGGCACAGATTTGGGAAGTGTGTTATCTTCCCTTGACGTGGATCCTCATGTTGATGCTGTTAAAGTAGCAGTAGCCAAAGAGAAGGAATAGTTCTAGATCTAGTTCTCTAAAATCAAACAAGCTAGGGAAGCTCCTTGAAGCCATTTCCAAGAAGACTAAAGGAAAAGAAGAAGAAGAAGAAGAAGAAGAAGAAGAAGAAGAAGAAGAAGAAGAAGAAGAAGAAGAAGAAGAAGAAGAAGAAAAAGAGGCTTTGATGAAGGGAACCAAACTTACTAAAAAGGGATTTTTCAAATTTTCTTCCCTCAAATCTGTAATTCCTAAACAAATGAGAAAGGGCCAGGTTCCTCTTTAAAAAGATCAAATCCGACCTATACTTCCAAACATATTGATTTGAAGAGAGAAAAAGTTCATGCTTATCTCACTAAAAACCCCAAAATTTTACTTAAGATCTATTGGTATATGCAAATGAATGATAAAATCTTTCTTCGAGTAAGTATACCCAATGATTTTCAAACAAAAATTTCAAATTTCCATGAAGATTAATAGAATGCAAGAATGGGTATGGGAGATGTAAACAAAACAAAGATGAACAATTGAAGAGAGGTTGAAGGAGATTAGGAAAAGAGAGATGGATCAGTGAGGTTAAAAAAAAAGGTATTTCGATAACTTCAATAAATATTAAAATAATAAAATGAGTTAACATAACATGCCAGAGAGGGATAATAATGTAATTTTAAAGATAAAATGTTAACTCATAACTTCTCACATTTTTTTTCTTGTCATTAGTTGAAAAAAAAAAAAGATTGATTTTGTGGCAACTTAATGTGCCCATCTGGCACTTCCGTTGATAGAAGGACCAAATTGGTTTCAAAAATTGAAGTTCGAGAATGCTTTTGGTATTTTTTAAAGTTTAAGGATAAATTTGGTTAAAAATTAAAGTTGAGAGACCAAATTAGGTATTTAACCTTTTTTTTTATTTAGTCATAAAATAAACTTTAAAAAACAGAAAAGAGAAAAAAAAGATTTAAAAAATCAAAAAACAAGAGTAAATCCTAGATGTTGTTTTGATCTTGTCTCTTCAGGGTTGTTATTTTGACATATGTTTTAATTGCCCTAAATATGAATTTTAACTTTTTAAGTGTCTGATTTTCTTCCATCTCTTGGTTAACACTAATGGTGAAAAAGCATTAGCGTACCAGACTTGTTAATTAACAAAAGTGTGACAAAGCTCTTGAAAGAGAGATTTCACAGTAGGATCCTTTTAGATCTTATTTGTCCGTAACAATTGAATTTGGGATTTTTTAGCAATTTAGGCGGTGTGTAGTTTAATCCTTAAAAATAATTAATAATTGTAGTTGTTATTCTATAATTGATAAAATAGTTGATATCTAATATTCTTTTTGTCTTAAAATAATTGTCTTTTTTTTTGTTTACTTCAAGTTTATTCTAAGTTAATTGTTGTTTTTTATTTTTTTAAATAATTAAAGATTTTTTTTACTCTAGCCCTCTTATTATCTATTTATTTTGATTAATTATTCTATCACAAAAAATCTTTTTTTATCTTTTAACATTTTTTAAGAATAATATAAATAAATATATAAATAGTCTTAAAATCCTTAATTTAGTGAAAAAATAAAAAAACAACAATTATTATTGGACAGAAAGAGTATATTATTACTCACTCCATTCCAAAATAATTATTATTCTTTGACTTTTTTTTCAAATTAAGGATTTAAGGATAATTAATATATTTGTCTATATTATCCTTTAAAAAAAAACTAAAGGATAAAGTAAAATTTTTTATAATAAGATAATTAATCAAAATAGATAAATAATGATATGGTTAAAATAAAAAAAAATATTTATCTAAAAAATAAAAAAAATAACTATTAATTTAAGATTAATTTAAAATTAAATAACGACAATTATTTTTAAATAAAAATAAAAAGGATCTGTAATTGTTTGAAACTAGCTGATAAAAGTATCTTTCTAACATCCTAAACAGTTGTTTAAAAAATATCTTTCTAAACATCCTAAATAGTTGTTTAAAAAAAAAAAAGAATTATAAATTATAATTATCAGTAAAATAAAACACACTCTGAAAATTTCCTAATCCCTCGTGCCAAGAAGTATTATAATTGAAAGTAGACAAAAAAATTTTTCCTCGTTTTAACTTTATTGTTATTAATTTATTTTAATTAATTATCATATAAAAAAATTATCTTCTTTATCTTTTATCTATTTTTTAGGGGATATAAATAAAAACTTAAGTTATTCATAAATCCTTAATTAAAAAAAAAGTCGAAAAGCTATATATTTTTTTTATTAAACCTCATAGTATTTAAAAATTATATTAGATCTTAATTAATCTGTAATCAAGTCATGTCAAATTTCATAAAAGAAAAACTTACCTAGTACCTGTTTCAAATTTGAAACCTTAAATGGAGAACATAACTCCTTTCTTCATATCAACAAATCATTGGTACAATTTTTTTTTTCTTGTTTTTTTGATGACATAGATGAAAGACATTCCTAATAATGGCTTAATACAACGCTCTACAGAAAATTTATCTTCACCACTAAATTTTTAGGTAGGTTGGATGATTAGGTTGGAAACTTGAATTAGAACTCATAATTCATAAATTAAACATTGGTGATATATATGCCCCAAAAG